TATTTTCTTTTTTGCTTTTCCCTTCCTTCTTTTCTCCACTCCTCCATCCCAGTTTCTCTCTCCTTTCGAAGTTTCTTCCCATTTTACAATGTCTATTACATATTTTGGATCTTATTTACATTTTCAGCTTCTCACACTAGGGAGGCAATACAATGTCTACACATGTGTGTCTGGTTTATTTCACTTACGAGTATAGTCTCAAGTTGCATCCATTTACCTATAAAAGTCTCTGAGTTTTTGTTTAACAGGTATAAAATTTCTGTTCAGCTGGGCATGGTGGCGCATGCCTATAGTCCTAGCACTCAGGAGGCTGAGGCAGGAATATTGCCATGAGTTCAAGGCCAGCCTGTGCTACATAGCAAGATCAGCCTAAACTGCATAGTGAGACCCTGTCACAAACAAGCAAACAAACAAAAAATTTCTGTTCAGGATGATGAAAATGGAATGGAAACGGATAGTGGTGATAGCTGCACAATAATGTGAATGGCCGGGTATGGTGATGCACACCTGTAATCCCAGCACTCAGGAGGCTGAGGCAGGGGGATTGTTGCGAGTTGGAGAACAGCCTGGCCTACCAAGTGAGCTCAAGGCCAGCCTGAACTGCATAGCGAGACCCTGTCTCAAAAAGACAAAAAAAAACCCCCAACAAACCATAACCCAATAATGTGAATGTATTTAGTGTCACCGAATAATAGCCTTGGAAACGTTTAAAATGGTAAATTTTATGTTATACACATTTTACCATATATACACAAAAAGCACTGTGCAGGTTTTGAGTACCTGCCACTGTTCTAGTTTCTTAAGAAATTATACTGGAAAAAACTGTAAGTCTGTTTCTTCTGTCTTAGTTACTTTTCCTTCATTGCTGAGACAAAATACCTGACACCTAAAGTTAAGGAAGGAAAGCTTTATTTAGCTCACATTTTTTAAAGGTTTCAGTCTATAATCAGCTGGCTCCAAGGTAGGGTGGCACGTGGCAGAGGGGCAATAGTCCAATGGCAGATGAAAGACAGCAAAAGCAATGAGAGAGAGAGAAGGAAGGGGGGAAGGGGAGGGGGAGGGGGAGA